TGGTTTGTTTGGTATATAAACTCAGTATGTTTGAAATACAAGGATTCATACAACTGATGCTGTTATTGGTGTTTTGGACTTAACTGGCTGGGCTAGACAGATCGCAGGATCGGTTAGCACTCTAGACTGCTCGTACGGTTTCGTGTGTCACTGTTCCAATCGATAATTCGCTGCTCCCTAATTGGCGGTCTCATCAAGTCACACATCGCCTAGGCATCCACTCGGCTACAAGTATAACAGGCCTCCACAATACACCCTATCCTGGGAAAAACACGTTATCTCTCTCTGTTTTCATTAGAATTCTTTAAGTTATTGTAGGTTTCTCCATTATTTTCTTGAATTGCTTAGAAAGGCAGGGGATGTTTTTAGTAGTTACTGACTGCATACTCGTAAAAAGTATTTGGTGAAATTACAATTTATGGACGACCTTTGAGCGACGCCAAAGTGATCTTGAGAGTGTCCACCTACTTATTCATTTATTTATTTAAACACATACATATTGGTACAAAGGGGCACCAGATGCATATGCGCCACACAAATCTCATTTGATTTGTGTGAGGGCTGTGATACTGCCCAGGTGCCCAGACTGGAACAGGGGGCCACACCCTGAGCCTTTGACCTGAAGGTCTAATCCACAAGGCAGTGGAGCATCATAAGGAGATACAGTCCCATGGTAGCCGGTCACCAACGATTAGTTCATGTGTCATTTGTTCCTTCAGGATACTGGAGCCCATGTGCACCATTTGTTTGGAATCAGGGTTTTCCAACTCCCCTAGGTGGACTCGCCATGTCCACCAGTCAGTCAGCTACAACGTAGGACCAGGCACATATATGCATCGGTCCAAGTTGCCATACCTCGTTAGCACAACAAGATGAACACCGGATTCATAGAAGTAATTAATTTAGTGGTGGTAGTATATAAAGAAAGGTTGTATATAAGGATATAGTATAGGAAGGAAAAACGTTATGAAGCAATTTTGATCTCTAGGTTTAAGGGGAGATAAAGAGTGAATACACCTACGCCATTGTGATCGATTCTGAGCCATGTCACCCAGAGTCTCCAACCATTAATTACGATAGTCACGCGGACCCCAACCAGGTAGTCTGCATCTACCAACATGGCTCAGACCAGAAGTTAGTGACTTCAAGCACTGATGCCATGTTTTGGTTTGGCCGCCCCTAACTCTCTTCCAACCATCTCCTACACTAGTCAGCATTGCGCGTTGTGGTAATCGGTGTTCAGGCATACGTAACACGTGTCCCAACCATCTCAGTCGACAAAGATCCACAACCTCATTAACTGATTTACCATCGTTCCCTAATACCCTGCGTCGAACCTTACTATTACTTATCCGGTTATCCCGGCAGATGCGAGCAATATTTCTAAGGCATCTGTGGTCAAATACTAGTAACCTACGAGTATCTTTTACTCTTAATGGCCATGTTTCGCAGCCGTAAAGTCGAACAGAGCGAACTGATGCGCAGTGTACTCGTCCCTTAATTGATAGATGGACGGATATCTCGTCTTTGCCATAGGTGACGTAAGTTTGCAAAAGCCAAACGAGCTTTTTTGAATCTGTACTGAGGTTTCGTCGGACATCGACCCAGTAGGCCTGGTTAGACATCCAAGATAAGTGAAGTTGTCGACGCGTTTGACTATTTCACTCCCTATCCTTAGTTCAGGTGTTGACGCAGGCCAGTCCTGGAGTAACAATTTACATTTGGATGGGGATAAATGCATCCGAAACATCCTGGCATTATTACTCAGTTCTAACGGAAGACTGCATTTTGCCAGCGTCTTCACCAAACAGGACTATGTCATCTGCGTATTCTAAGTGGATAAGTGAACCTCCTGATAGAAGATCAATTCCTGAAAATTCAGTCGACGAGAGTGTTATTTCCAGCAACAGGTCTATAATGAAGTTGAACAAAAATGGATATAGTGGACAACCTTGTCGGACACCACTTGGGGTTACAAGATCAGATTACAGTCCGTCATAAGCTCTCACTCGACTAGTTGTGTTCGAGTAAAGAGCCTTCACAAGGTTTATGCACTTCTCAGGTACACCTTTTAATGACAGACACTGCCACAGAACCTCTCGGTCTACAGAGTCAAATGCTTCTTTCAAGTCAAGAAAAACTATCATTGTCGGACGCCGATAAGCATGTCTGTGAACTAAAACCTAACGAATAGTGAATATGTGGTCGATACAGCCACGACCAGTTCTGAAGCCAGCCTGATTTTCTCGTGTTTGCAGTTCACGAGTCTTAGTTAGGCGCCCGATAATTATTGAGGCTAGTATTTTAGATGCTATATTAGTCGGACTAATCCCTCTATGGTTATCACAGTGTGATTTTGGCCCCTTCTTATATATTGGGACAATCAGAGATTGTGACCAGTCAGATGGGATTATGTCCGTCTCCCAGGTTTTAGCCAGAATATTAGTCAACCTAGTCGCTAAAATTGGGCCACCATATTTAAAGACCTCTGGAGCCAATCCATCTGCTCTTCCTCGTTTCAGATTAGTTATAGCCTTTTGAACTTCAAGTAGGGTCGGGGGACCTACTTCGATGTCCACCAACCCGGTTAAAGCGCCGGACATTCGCTTTTCGTCCTCTCAATTTCGTAAACAACACCCCCGCCACGAGAAGGCAGTGAGTAGGACTTCCCTGGCAGAGGCTATATATTCGCGTGGCCATGTGAGATCATTTGGAGAGGGAGAGCGAACTCTCCTCACTCTCGGCCGTACCAGGGCATTTGGGGGCCACCTACTTACCAAGGCTAAATGAAAGTTATAAAACAGTCTGAAGAATAAGGATTATGATTCACAGTTGATGGTTATAGTCAGGAATTAGATTTACGGTATTTCATCACAAACTGGCATCAGCTTAAATACTAAGACTTTATTTGGTCAAATGGGTCAGTGAATTCCGCCCCGAAGTCCAAGACCTGTTATCCTAAATCTGATTAGTTTGTTCATAAATCATAGTCTTGCCAAGTATTTTTTTACAGCTACTATATTCTGAATTAAAGATGCAGAACTAGTTTGAACCCACCAATTTATTGTAAATTAAAGACTAAAACTGTGGTCGATGGAATGCCAACAATAATATAAAAACCGTAATGGATATTCGCCATTTTACCATACCTACCGCCATTCACTTAAATACGTGCTCATCGGATATGTGTTTTAGTACTAACTTGTACTCTATCATTAGACTGGTAATGACGACAAGCATGGAAGTATTTTAAAGTGGTTGAGTGGGTGAATGTTTGTGTGTCATTAGGTGTAAAAATTCTGAAAGATTTTAAAACAGGCATGTTGGGGAATTAATATCGTTTTCAAAATTACTCAATACTAACCAACACTTTACCACTTTATAATACCTCCATGCTTGTTGTCGTTATTTTACTAGTCTTTAATACGGAATAATGTACATTGGTTACTGATAATTATTACTGTCCTCCCTAGGTTGTAGGCTGATGACGAGAATCTACGAAGTAAATGAACTCACTTTGCTCTGTTACTCTTGTTGTTCTTGCTTCGTTCAAATTTACCAATGCGAAGGATTGTATGGAGAAATTAACAAGTTGAAAGTCGGAAAAATGTAATAGTGATGGTTTTTGTTACTTCCTTTCTCTTTCAATTATAGAATAAGTTAAAACGAAAATATATCTTTATTGACATTCTTTTGGATAAAAACGTAGGCGTATCTTTCACTACTGTTACTTAAAGTACGTTATATTGGGTTCGATTACGAACAACTTTGAAACGATTTACTGTCTGATTTTATGGACTTTTCAAGTAGGAGTAAAATAGAGAAACCCCAGTAAAAGAATAACAGTAACTTAGAACGTGGGAGGGATGGGTATATGTTGAAGTTACCATACTTTCTGGTTTCTTTTGTGATTACTCTTCATTTCTTTTAATTGCGCCACTCTGAAATGTAGCAACTTATTTTATTTATGTCATTGATTTATAAAGTACATGTTTGGGTACTTGATTCTCAGAGACTGAACGTTTATTATACTACCTGGATCACCCAAACTATGTTAGTTGAAGTAGTGTTCAAATTTGGGGCCCATCAGTTCTAAGTAGAGTACTTTAACCATTGAGCCACCACTCTACAATAGCATTTTGGATCACTTCAGGGTTTTGTTTGTTTGATTCAACTGGTATTACTTGGTCTACTGCGAAATAGTATGCTTTTTTATCTTCTGGATATCCTTGCACTTAGTCATTACTCTTCTACTTCTCTTAGAATATTTTAACATTGAGTAGTAAAACTTTTTTATGTTCCAGATAACGGCTTTATCAACATATTCAGTAGATAAATATTCCGTTTTATTTGCGATGTGTTATTTCAAACATCTATTTCCATGTTATTGATTTTCATTTAGCTAAGGGCTTTGAGAATATTCGTCCAAGTTAAAGATTCTTTTCGTTGTGAGGTGGGAACCACAAAACAGTAGTCAGTTATAGATGTCGTGGGGTCCGCTTTAAACATGTACTGGTCTCCTTTGCCAAGTCTGGGAACTGTTTATTTCAGGTTTATAACTTATCATCAGTACTCACTTGTGACTGCATATGGGATCCAACCTAAAACCTTCAGTTTTTGTGGAAGAGGTGATACTTTTAGCGTACTGAGTTGAAGTTCGATGGTTTACACTTTGAACCTCGTTCAGTTTGCAATATGGTTGAATCACTATCCAGTCTCATCGATGATTGTCCCTTCAAATTGGTTGTTCGTTATAAGTTACTGATTTAAATCCAGTATAAGTATAGTTTGTCCACTATTTATTTTATTACCTTCCGTATATCGTGCTTTTAAGACTCCATTCTTAGTTGCAAACAAAGTTTCCAAAAGCTTTAAGTACATTTGATTGGTAATCATTGTTATTGTATTCAAATCTAAATTATGCTAGCTGAATTTAACAGTTTTGCTTTTATTTTTTCTGTGTATTATCTTCACAGATCTCATTATTCTGTTAGTTACATATGTCATTAAAGAAACCACCCAAAGCATTGTACGTACCACCAGCTTTAAGAGCGAACAAAAGTGCTAGCGAGGTCAAAAAAGAGTCATCCTTTTTGGAATCTCCAATATCACATGCTTCTGTGGATGACCAAACTGATGTAGAACAACAATTAAGATCACTTACACTTTCTGACAGCTGCATTGATGACAATGAATGTGTATTCAAAAAAAAACTTTTTAATCAAAAGCTGTCACATAATGATGGCAACAGTGAACCAGTCATAAGGTTAAAAGATTTCCAGCATATTTTAGAGTTATATAACTTTTCAAAAGACTTTCAAAATTTTCACTTGGAAGCTGAACTCACAGGATTTGAAGATAGTGGATTTTACCTTAAGTGGGTCGATGATACTCATTGTTTAGCTGTATTTTCTTCAAATGATGAAGCAAATCGTGCATTGGCTCAAATATCAGGACTTTTCATGAAGGTATACCATTCTTTACTACTTACCTTCCTCTATATAAAGTTACCAATTTTTTCAGTGTTTCTTGAACTTTTGTTTGAGTTTATCCCTTTATAATGTAGTTTAGGTATTAGAATACAAGCTATAATAAAATCTTGAAGTAAAATAAATTTCCTGTCAATAAGTTAGATTAGACATGTTTTGCTAACCGATAATATAGTCATATTTTGAGATTGTGAATACTAATTATGGGTAAATAAAGGTGGTGCAATTAAACAACTAATTACAATATCATGTACTGGGTTTTTTCTGTGAATGGTTTATCTCAGACAATACAATTAAGAAGAAATCGTTCCTAAGACTCTTTTATGGATTGAAGTAAACTTAGTCCACTAACTGTCAGTGTGTTTCCATCAGCATCGATCTATTCAGCACAAAATTAGTTTATTTTTAGTGTAGGGAGGGGCTTTTAGGTATTACTGAATTGTCAGTGTACATTATTGTATTCATTAATATACTGTAATTTTATATTTAAGTTGTAGTTGCTCAATCCGATAAATCTTACAATTAATAATGGTTAAATATTGGATGTGTAATTTACACGAACGGGGTAGTAAATTCTTCTGTGGTGTCTACCAAGAAGAGCTTTTGTACAAGATTTCGTCTCTCCATTGCAGTCTATCTGAGGGTAATCATCGATGTGTTGTGTATTATTCGTCAGGTTTGTTCGGATAACATAGATCCCTGTCCTTATTAGAAGAATCTCTATTGTTCGTAATGTAGAAATACAAAACTCAATCGTAATTCAAAATAGTCGTGGGGGCACTGTCTGTATTTAAGGAATTAGTGAAAGTTCTTGGTTTTCTGAACTGAAGTAACCAAAGCAAGGTTCAAAGTCGAATTAATATATATCGGATCTCGCATGACTAGTTTTCTATCTTTTTGCTGTGTTCATTGGTGTTTTGTGTCATGTATGTAATATAGGAAATGTCCCATGAGAAGATTGACATAAGTCATTAAAGAAGTACAAAATAATACAATTTTACCACAACAGATAGTCTGTAATTAAAACAAGTTCCTCCATGCTGAATAGAAATACCACCCTATGACATGGCGCGGCGGTGTAAAAGAGGTACATATGACTGATATCCATTAGTCCATCAGAACTCACTGATCAGAGTCCTAAAGATGATGCAATTTGGTAGATTGGGAGATTATGAGATGTCTCAGAATAGAAGCCATTGACAATCCTGCTGTAGTTTTATTTCACGTTCTTCATTCTAAAAATAATAATAACTTGGACTGGAAAAACTGGTTGTATTTCTAACTGAATTGTTTCTTTCATTATATTCTATTTTAACTCACTTATTTTTTCGGATTTGACTCCTTTTCCTTCCCCTATTTCTTCACAAATTCATTCCCTTATTTTGATGTCCACGTTTATTTTGCTGCCTATTTCTACCAGTGTTTATGTGTATCAAACAAAAAAATAAGTAATGCTTCAGAATTCAGGAAACGAGAGCAGTTCGCTGTATATTAATCCACTGAAAATAGGTTCATAAACCGTCTCATTAGTGCAGTGCTACGTGGAGTGAGCTATAACCAAAAACTAGTCAAATGCACATCAATGAATAAATAAAAGACGGTCAGAGTTTTTAACTGTAATTATAAGTACTAGAGGCAGTAGTTGACCTTCGTTTTGTTATCCTGGCCATTTAAAGCTCCAGTGGTTATTAACAGTAATAGTTATCACTCCGTTAATACATGTAAACCTTAATTATTCCTCTTATCCATATTATCCTACGATTATTTGGACTTAACGTCTAGATTTGCGAAGTATATTTGTCGTATCAAACGTTTTTTGTGGTCATTTATGTAAATATAAATAAGTACATGCATTTAATGTACGTGAAAGCTGGATGGATAACTGTTGAAGAATAAGAATGAGAGCTTTTCTGCTGCATTTGTCCAGTTTTGTCTGTTATTCATACTATTACAACACTGATTTTTGTGTAACGTAAAATATTTTGCATGTTAAAATTTATCTCTTGTTGTTATCATTCACGTTTACTTACTGTTGATAAGTTTTTTTTACTAAATAGTCTGAATTTTACAAATATTTTAACTAATTCGTTTCATCTTTAGGCTCGTAAAATTAACGACGCCTCTTTGGCTAGTAAGTTGAAGATTGCTCGTTCACCTGGTGACTGGACTATGCCGTATAAAAAACGACCAGTTACGACTAGTTCAACAGCTCGAAGACTAATTTCCAATCATTTGGGTATTGTTCCTACTAAAATTAAATCTCCTGAGGAAACTATGAAAGAGGAACAAGATAAAGCTCTCTTACGAGAAGCACGTGGTAAATTATACATGTGTTTTCCGCATTATTTTTTATGTTTAATTTTCGTGATACCATTAGTTTTTAGAACATTATCCAACGATGTTTTAAATCTGGTGTTACACTTTACAAGTCATTTTAGATTTCTGTGTTGAACAGTCCTAGTCAATCATAGATCGGAATGCTTATTTTCGTTTCCGTTTAGAATTCGATTAAGATTTGCTAATTATTCAAGTAAATGTACTAAAGTTCTCATTTTTATGTCGAGATCAGATATGTTAACATAGAAAGAAACCGATTTGCCCACATAAATTACCTTTTATTACTAATAAGCGCGCGAGAAAAAAATGTTTTACCTAAATTTTGTGCCTTCAATTAAAACTGTATGGAATGATTTTCTAGATTTTTCAACTATTCTTATTTGCCTGTTTCTGTATTTAAGGAAGATATCGAGTCCCCAATTTTCATCGTCCTTTTTGATCATCATGTACATGTATACTTTTAGTAGGATATATTTGGCTTTAGTTGAGCACTTTTAAATACATATAGGTATGATAGTTCAATAGTTTCATGACATATGTAAGGCTGTGATATCTTTAATAGGAAAATTGCAAAATGTTACTTAAAACCTCACCGAATTCTTCACGGTTTGTTGATGACTCTTCATAATCAATCCAGAAGTAGGTGAAATCCAGGTTCAAGGGCTTTGTTTGTTGTTAGAACCTACTAATTATTTAACAGTAGATTATAAGGTTGATATCCATGTATATGTCTTTGGTATAATCCCACATATTACTTGTTCCATTTGGGAAGTTGAGTATAACATTTGTTTCGATTTTATTAACTATTTCATGTATATTACGAAAGAGAGGATGATAATTCTCAACATTTTATCACTCGTTAATCATTCTGATCCAATCCCAGTTAGTTAAATGAAGAAAGACAGCATATGATCAGTAAATCTCAACCGTTCATTTGTTAGATACGTGTGTAAAATACTCTCTAGGTAATTTATTAAGTAGTGAATGGAACTTTTAAAGTTCAATAATCTAAAAAAATAATTAGCGTCAGTCCTTGCACATAATTTACTGTCACTATTTATTTATTTCATTTTCAATCGTTTGTCAAATGAATCATTAGTTTCATTTCTCCAAGAGTTGATCATTACACCAGTTTAACTCTAATTCTAGTGTTCGCGCAGATATACTTATATGTGATGTTTTCTAAAGTGCATGCTATTTGATAACTACTAACTTTTGTCCTCTTATGTTTCAGCTCGCGCGGAAGCTATTCGTCAGGCACAGAAATCTCTATGGGAAGACGATTAACATGTCAATTACAATTATATTTTAGAATTATTCCTGTAAAAAGTGATTTTTTGCCTTTGGAATCCTTTTTATTTACAGTGAGAAAAAAATATCTTTGCATTTGACTAAAAATTCATATCATAATCATCAGGTAGTATCATGAGTAATATCTAACTTGTTTTTTTCCAACACTGACTTGTTAATATTTTCATCTTTCTACTCTGTCTATCTGTGTACATGCAAACACTTTATGCCTTTTTTCGCTTGTTTAGTGTAAATTGAATATGGCATTAATAAATCATGGTACTTTCTTCATCATGTGTATCTATTTGACATGTTTCTTATTATTTTTGCAAATCATGTAATTGTATTTAGAATATGTTTCTCTCTCTTGTTCTATATGTGGGTCTATGGTAATTTGTTATTTTCTGGTGTTAAGCATGCTTTTTTTTCACTAGGCGTCGGATTATTTTTTTGGTTTTTACTGAACTTAGAAACATAAAAAAATATGACAGAGCGTTGCCATTTTTCTTTTGAACATTTTTGCTGGTTGTAAGAGAGCTAGGTATAACAAGCCAGTCAGTCAAGTCATCTATAAGATCAGGTACATATATGCATCGGTCTAAGTTACCACATCTCATTAGCCATGTCACACAGAGTCTCCAACCATTGGTTATGATAGTCGCGTAAACCACAACCAAGTAGTCTGCATCTATCAACATGGCTCGGACCAGAAGTTAGTTACTTTAAGGATGCTGTGTTTTGGTTTAGTCACCCCTAACTTTCTTCCATCCGTCCTCGACACTAGCCAGCATTGCGTGCCATAGTAATCGGTGGTTAAGTATAGGTAATACGTGTCCCAACCATCTCAGTCGACAAAGATTCACAACCTCATTAACTGATTTACCATCGTTCCCTAATACCCTGCGTCGAACCTTACTATTACTTATCCGGTTATCCCGGCAGATGCGAGCAATATTTCTAAGGCATCTGTGGTCAAATACTAGTAACCTACGAGTATCTTTTACTCTTAATGGCCATGTTTCGCAGCCGTAAAGTCGAACAGAGCGAACTGATGCGCAGTGTACTCGTCCCTTAATTGATAGATGGACGGATATCTCGTCTTTGCCATAGGTGACGTAAGTTTGCAAAAGCCAAACGAGCTTTTTTGAATCTGTACTGAGGTTTCGTCGGACATCGACCCAGTAGGCCTGGTTAGACATCCAAGATAAGTGAAGTTGTCGACGCGTTTGACTATTTCACTCCCTATCCTTAGTTCAGGTGTTGACGCAAACCAGTCCTGAAGCGATAATTTGAATTTAGAGAGGGAGAAATGCATCTCAAACATCCTGGCACTGTTGCTCAGTGGTATCAAAAGACTGCATATTCTAAGTCGATAAGCAGACCTCGTGGTAGGAGATTGATTCCCGGAAATTCAATCGACCAGAACGTTATTTCCAGCAGTAGGTCTATGATGAAATTGAACAAAAGTGGAGATAATAGACATCCTGTATGGAAGTCGTGGGTGCTTATAGTTAAGTATGGACTGACGAAGTAAAATGCTATCAAATATTTCCATCTTCGAATATTCGTTTGCGATGAAATCTACCATAACATTGAGAAATCTATTTAAGCTACTTGGGTAAGTATTAAGTAGTACATTGACACCCGACGTAGTTTTTCAAGCATGTTTAACAAATATCACAAAAAATTATCTACTTTTTGAGTTAAACTCAAATCTATTTAGTAAACATATCAGACTTTTAGTTTAACGGTATGAGTGTCACTGTTCATCAGGATCTAATATATTTGTGAAGCAACTAGCGAGGCAGGACTTCAAATCCTTCGTCTCCATGGATAAACGTGATGACTAATGAACGTGTTCCCTGTGATGCTGAAATACGGCTCATGTCAGAAGTGAATGTTAAGTTTCTATACCCATTTTTAAAGTTTACCATTTCAAGGTGATAATTTTCAGCATTACAAGTAGTTTTAGAATTCTGTTAATCTGTCTAAGAATTATTTGCAATGTTTTACTATTTGTAGTTTTCTCCACGTATGTATTACCTAAAAAAATAAACTAAATTTAGTGTGTTTGCAATTTAAGTTGCTAAACAGCTATTTCAAAACAGGATCCATTGACATAGTTGTATTGTCCTAGTATGGAGCTCTGTAATTTTATTCCAGCTGACTCCTAACAATCAAAATCATATTATCTTCACCGATCTACTTTAATGATCATAAAATCATTTCACTGACAAATACTTAAAATCAATTGCTTACAGATTTCTTCCTTGCCTTTAAGAATACATCAAATACCATACAGTATTCATGATGCTTTTAAAACGAGTCAAATAAATATCAGTTTCTCATCATTACCATATGAATTTAATTGTTTCAGAATATGAAGGAAATCAAATTAACAAATCACTGGAAATAATATCTTATCAATGCATCCAAATAAATGATAAAAAAAGACATCAAGCATGTGTAAAATCAGTGTAACCTTTTTTATACTAAAAGGTTGATGATTGTCTACAGTTTGCATATAATTGCAGGAAATAATTATCAATTTTGAAGAAAAATGAAAGAAATTCTTATTGTTGCAAAAAGATTACCAGTTCAACGAAATTCTTTATCCATCAGATAAACAGCACTATTATCCAAATGTAGTCGAGCACGCATTTCTCTTAGTTTACTTACAGAATTCACTTGTTCTTGTAGAAAATCGTCCAAAAAATCTTGTGTCTATGTAAATATTCAAAATAGTTGTAGTAATATTTAATTATTTACTTAACAACTTGTACACAGGAAATAAGTCGTTCTAAGCTGCAGTGAATTACTTTAACTGAGTTGGTTTATTTACATCATGGGATCAGTCATTCTTAACAGTAAAGAAAAGTTAACACAAGCAAAGTTATTATACTACGGACTACTTAGATTTTGGTAATATCAGACAGAAATCCTTTGACTCAGTAATTTCGAGGGCAATATGGTCAAAACTAAGCAGTGATGAATATTTTTACACTTACTATTTATATAATTAGGTGTATAAATATTACTGAAATCTCCCTAATTTCATGATACAAACTCTAGTCACTATTCCTTATTTCTACTAATTCTTGAACTGGTTTATGAATTAACCAACAAACTAGGCCATAAATTTTGAGTTTATAAATAGATAGTATTTTCCTCTATTACACTCCATTTTTCAATTGATCATAAGGCTCATCTCAAAGTTATTAAGAAAAGAAATACCCCTGTATTTACCTTAGGCGAATGATTACAATAAATTGAGTACTTGCAGTGTATCCTGACTCATCATATTCGGTTTAGGAATTTCTAATTTAAGAAAATTGTTTACAATAATGTTAAAAATAAATTATTTTTTGTCATGATGATGAACTTTTGTTGAATGGAGAAAAGATACAATACCTTATAAATTGGTGAGAAGAAATTAAACTACATACATCTTATCATGGGATGGTTAAAATCACTCTAATATTCAATAGGAATGTCAACAAATTAAAGTGTTAATCATTAAAACGATCCATAAAATGTCAACGACAATACATATGATTTCTTTTTTTGTTTTAATGAATATTAAAGTTCAACTAGGGTCTAATAGTTTAAAAATCAATCAATAAAATTTATTTTACAATATCTTATTTGTTTTGTTTATTAAAATGAACAGGTGAAAAGTTCATACTAAATTTATTTAGCAGCATGCTCTAATATGTATTTATATCAGATTATATATTGTTTATGATTGACTAAATGGAAAGAGTTATGACATTCGAATGTTAATAGACATTAATGAAATGTAGATATTTTGTAACTTTTCAAAGCGAATTGTTCTCAGTGAGTTGGTTAGTAGTTAGTTATTCTGTTATAGAAGACATTAGTGTTTCTAATATTCCTTATGTAGTATTGAAAAATATGAGTTAAGTGGAGAAACATTAGTTTCTTAGTATAACTCATCAATTATAAATAGGTTTCACAATTAAGTATTAGGTCAGTACTCAATAAATGGCGTTTGATCAATCAATATATCTTAATATTTTCCCTAAACATAGTAATCATTTAGTAACTTAGCGGGTGAGAATTTAAGACATTACATAATCAGTTAATTGTAGCAAGTAGTTGCGTAAGATCAAGAGAAGGAATTGATTAAGTTTGGAATTAAGTAGCTGAATGAAAATATTCGGTGTTATTTGTAATAATAGTGATGAGTAATTAGTAAGACATAAAAAGGGAGTTGGTGAGTCAGATTATCTTGACAAATCACGTTAGAATAAAACAATAAGTTAAAATGGCACATAAGTTCTAATAAATACAATATCATTTGATAAAGGAATAACTAAAGTAACTCATTAGTTTAAAAAATAGTACTTCATTGTATAAATCTATCAGTTCTGGTTCGAATATCAATAAAAGTTTCATCATTCACTTGGATATCCGTAAAACCACTGAAACTGGATACATGGCCTTGATTCATTTTTTACTACCGATTACTAAACTAATTTTCAATAGGTTTTTACGCACCCTTGTTGTTAGCAGAATTTCGATGGGTTTTAATTTCCTAACTCAATAGAATTGTTTACTATAAGTGAAATAAAGGTGTTTCCAGGTGAAATATATTTGAGGCTAATCAGTCTTACCTTTTTTATTAAATCTAATATAAATAACATTACCAATGCCGATTGTAAAAGATAACTTTTATTTACCTAATTGAAACCCTATATCAGTGATTATTAATGTCAAATATAAGAACTCTAATAACTTGTACCTTAAGTTATCTTTCAACATTAAAACTGTTAACTTTAAGTCTGATAGAGAAGATGCCATTTTAAATCTTTGGGTTGAATTCCAATGATTGACATATTTGTATTTCAAACAATATTGTCAATTTTTAAATAAGCAGTTGATTATTCAATGTAGAATGAATAAAATATTTATTTAAAATCTATTAAATTCTAAAATTGTAGATGAAAGAAGCATAGTCAACAAAAAATGTTAACAAAATTAATAAAATCATATGATTTTATATAGTTGAAATCATGAGTCAGTTGAAGCTAGACCACCATGGAAAACCTGGAAGTACTGGACGGCCGTTTCGTCCTATTGTGGGACTCCTCAGCGAGACCGACAGGTCTTGGGTTCGAATCTCGCGAAGCGGGATCGTGAATGCTCACTGCTGAGGAGTCCCACAATAGGACGAAACGGCCGTTCAGTGCTTCCAGGTTTTCCATGGTGGTCTAGCTTCAATTGACTCATGATCTCAACTATATAAAATTACTAAAATCTCCACAAAACCCCCTTCTGATAGAAATCATATAAAATAATCAGAACTCACAGTTGCATCATTCATTTTCGATGCTAATTTATGCAGTGCATTGATGTGTGCAGTGACTTCAAGTTCTTTTCCAATTGCTGTATCAATTACTTCATGAATATTTTTAAAATCCATTGGTACACCTGAAGATGCAAGCTAAATCATGAATGGAGTAAAATTAAACAAAAATTGGCATGTAGAGTTCTTGGTAAATTTGTAAATTATATGGGTTTTGGTATATGTATTACCAGGATCCATATAATGAAGTTCATTATATCATAGAATACGTTGTAAGCAAGAAATAATATGACAGTGTAGCCAATTTATTTAAAACAATCAAATGTATCTACCGATCAGTTCAACTAGAGTGTTTCAATTACGTAAATAGTTATTGAGACATTTATGCATGAAGTTAAATTAGAGTAATGACATACAGCTGACATGATTAAGTTTCAACGAATTCAAGATTATATAAATTAAAAGGGCATAAGGAAAAGAGAATTCAACGAAGAAAATTTTCTTTTCGACAAAAATCATTTACTTAAGCTGTACATTCGTATATATAGTTATATGGAAAATATATGTCTACGGGAAGCTAGGAAAGATTGCATTACGTAACCTCATTTGTTATTTATTGTCGAATCCATTTATAATGCAACCTTTCCTAACCTCCTGTAGACATATATTTTCCATATAACTATATATACGAATGTACAGCTTAAGTAAATGATTTTTGTCGAAAAGAAAATTTTCTTCGTTGAATTCTCTTTTCCTTATTCAATGACACTATGAGTTATCTTAATTATCTAAAAAGGCATATTTTAAATTTCGACTAACTAAACTATGCATTCAAAAATAAATGGAAGAATTGAATTTCGGAAAGAGAATACTATTATTTGTTATAAACCATCCTTGCATAACAGGATTAAAAATTATTACTATCTAAATGTTAGTCATGTAAATAGTTGCTGCCAACACATGCCTATGATTCAGTAGGGATATTATGTTCTGTATGTCAATCGCTTTATCAAAACTTCTCTGTTTTACAGTGAGAAATTTTCTTTAATTTAATGAATTTAGCGGGTATTTATAAAATATTTGTTGCAAAATTATGTATTCTGAGCTGATGTTAAGCAAATTTTTTCACTAGTTGTAATACTTAGAGTTGAACAAATGAATGAAGTAAGATTACTGTCAACAAAAAATTGAATAAATACCTACTAATTAATTTGAGTCAGCCATCATTAACATATCACGGGGCAGAAATGCATAGCAGTGGAACAAGGCGCGATATATTATCAACACAATAAAACCAAATTAACGAAGATCCATAGTTAGGAAGTTAAAGTCATGGTAGCATTAACGATATTAAAAGGGGATAAACGTCATTAGGACTGTTGTCATTGAACAAGTATAGACGATAGCAGGCAAAAATATTAGATTTCTAATTTGATTTTAGTTCTACAACAGACTAGTCACTGACTGGATAGCTTGGTGGTGACATTTAACTGGGATACCGAGTTAACCGGGTTCCAACCTCATAAGGTGTACCGGCTCCTTCGATGGACCTTAATAATAAATACCAACTAGAACAAAAACTAGGCCGAGGAGAGCTCACGTTTTGTCTCAAACCACTACATTACATTCAGTGACTAAACTGCAACTTCACTTCAAGGATTCGTTCGACACTAATTAGCAAACAAGCGTGATGTTACCTCGTATTCGATGATCAGTCAATACAAAAGTATTTTTCTATCCAAAATTAGTAGCTAGAACAAGTGACCAGTTGTAGTTAGTTTCGTCGCTACATTAAAAAATTCGTTCAGCAAGTTTTTGTACTTAGATATTGACTGTTTATGTAATATGTAATATAATAAGCTGCTATTTGTTGTTAAAGTACAAATTATGGTTTTTATTTTTCTCATGACAGTTCCATACAAATAAATTTGCAACAACCTTGATGACTAAGTGTTTTCACTTTCCTTTTTGGTCCATCATGGTGTTAAAAATTAATATTTAATTGTAAACACTTGTTAGAGGAGTAGTCAGTTAATTAAGTAGGGAATATGACATAAAGACTTCCCCTAATAAAAGACTATCTGTAACGATGACCAATCTCATATTTTTATTATCTAAGTTTTATTTCTGAATAATTAAAGTTATAAAGCACTTATAAGAGAATATAGGATAGAACAGTAAACCAAAGAATAACAGCGTAATAGAATGTGTAATTTAAACAGAACGAAAAAAGTGTTCGTATTTACTTTAGTTAAATTGAGTTTAAGAAGTTTGATTTCTTTGGTTAACAAGAATATTTTACATTTAATAAAGCAGAATTGAGTTAAACACTTAGCAGTTGTTCTGTGTACTAGTGACGTTTTTTCGCGTTTTATTTCTGTTTCACAACATAATTTTGGGATCGTTGGAAATCTAAATCGATTAGTCAGTCATCAAAAAAAGTATGATTTGGCACAAATAACCATCAGCTCAAGTTTTAACTCACTTCAATGTGAGCGGTAATGAATAAATTACATAGAACATGAATTGAAATAAATAATAATAGTAGGTGAAAAAAATTAAGTATAAATAATTGAGTTCAAGAAGAACGGATTAAGTCGAGGAATAAAAATCATGAAGTAATAATAAACATAATGATGTAAATAAATATAAAGAATGAATATATTTAGCTCTCTGTCAGTGATTTTAAACTATGTCATTTAAATTCGAGTCCCAGAGTGAACAACAACTCTGAGATGCAGGTACATCCAGCTGACGAGTCCCAAATAGGACGAAGTGGCGTACGTTCTGGATTCCACTATTAGCCACTATCCATCTTTGCTTATGTCATTTCAGTTCACGAACAGCAGATTATTATAACTACTCTATTAAATTTAGCTATAAATTGTATGTATTTTGACATAATTCAAATCAAAAATTATTATTTTTCTAAACTGTCAATCTCATGTTTTTGGCTTACTAGAATATATGTATAAATTATGATATTAAATTTACTTATGAAATATACTTACTTCATTGATACGATCTTTTTTCTAGAAATTATTGAAATCCATTTATGTAATGAGGATCGAAATATTCATTAATATAGAGAGGAGGAGAGGACAGAACGGATAATTATTGCAAATAGTTCTATAAGTGAGTAGACAACCTTTCATGAAAATAATCAACTTGTATAATATTTTCTGAAGATACTATCAAATGCATAGTGTATGATAAAAATGTGTATTTTAATCTAGGTGACAATGTGTTAAGTGTTTAATTCTTTAATATGCAACTAAACATGACAGAAATTTGAAAATTGTTAAAAGTACATATTTAATAAACCTTTTATACTTAATAAATAAAAATTTAACTACTTTTATTATTTTAAATACAATTTGAATTAAACTATCTATGTATTGACTGGTTATTGGTAAGATTTTTAATGTCCATTAAGTATGCTGTATCGACCATTTTTCTGTTCATTTAAAGGGTGAATGCTGCATACCGAAGAATAATTGTCACTAGGTCTTTCAGAAGCTTTGAGTTGTCTGTAACTGTGTTCTATGTCTATCAATGTTGCTAAGCTCAATATACTGGATGAAAAGCATAACGTTTATGTTACGTCAATATAATTTATGATAGGAATTGAATTGAAATCAATAAAAATTACTCTCTAATATGTAGCGGTCACACACTAAATGAACGGGAGATGGTCAGAAGTTTTAAATGAAGCATACTTACTGAATAAAGTATAATTTGTTTATCTCCTACTGAAGAATGCATCAGAATACTGATTTAAACTAATGTATATGTTCGCTCATTGTCCACTTCTAAAAACCACAAACTAAATTTAATCCCACTAACAGTTACTGCCTCTACTGTCCATAACTCACAGTAATTTCAATATGTTGGTCGGTTTTTATATCTGAAACGTAAACTATCATTCGATTTCGGTGTAGTTAATTGAGTTAATAAATAAAACGAAGAGAGTGAAAAATATTTAAATCCTATGTGGTCTCATATAAAGCATGAAAATGATTAAATTAAACAGCTGTAAGAAAATATTAAACGATACTGTGTTCGATATTTTTACTTGTCATTCATCTCTATCATAAATAAAATTCTGAATATGAAAATTAAATGCTAGTTTCCCAATGAATTGACTCTATGGAGGTTTCGGAAAAGAAACGCACCATTAGTTTATTAGTCACTAATCTAAACAATATGAGTGAATGGATGCTTTCTGGTTGGTTTTCATGATTAATTACAATGGATAGCTACGTAATTTAAATTAAGCAATCAAAGTTCTTAAGCAGATGTACACATTCTTTGTCATTCTTCAAATCTTAACCATAATCTCACTACATAAATTTTCATCTACTTTATTTGTTTCTTTCGATAAACTTTTATAATTATATTTTCTCTTTACCACTTTAATTTTGCTACTTTTACTCCCTTACTTTTACACTTGTTAATTATCTCTCATCATTCCCTCGTTGCTACCTTGACGTAGTGGTCGGGCTTGCCTATCGTAATGAACCAATCGAGCTATACTGGCTGGGACAATAGTTCCTCAAGGTCCTACCATGCCCAAGCAGGTCGGTTGAATAGTGGTAAGATAAAAAACAGCAAACCCAAGGTCCGAAGGCGAAGTTGCACTGCCGACTGTACAGAGGTGTGACGGCAGTAAGATGTTGTCGTCAGACAACCAGAATAACAGCGACGCTGCCTTCGCACAAGGAGGAGTGGGGTTAAGAATGGTCGACCCTAAAAAAATGCACACCTCGTCTTATCCCACAAATATCGTTATCTGGCGGTAAGGTGTCAACAAGTTTGGAGCTAACACGAAAATTACTCACAAAAAGGCCGTGTGTGACAGACCTCAAGCAGCTATCCCTTTGGCACTGCGGTCACACTCTCAGATCACTAAGACCACTTCTAACCCAATTTCCTTTTCAGATGCCTCTAGAAGAACCCTTCCACGGTATGGGCAACCGGGAAGTGATAACCGCCCTCATACATCTAACAGCACTGAAGATCACTGTCAGTCAGTCAGTTACAACGTAGAACTTCGTACGTACGTACATCACTGTATTCACAATAAATCTATTTCTTCAATTCCAATCATTTCTCCTCCATCAACTATCAACACTAAA